ACCGACGGGGTCTTCTTTCGAGCCATGGCTCCGCATCCGCCAGCAGCCCGCCTTTGGCATGGAAGAGGCGCTCCACCTCTGTGAAGCGAAGCTTCCTATGGGGCGGTTGATCAGAAGGCACTTTACATGGAGTGACCATCGGGAAAGCCACTAAACAGATTCAGATGATATGTTTTACTGGGAAAATAAGGTCCTCAAACACGCGCAAAATGCCAATTCACGTCGAAGGCATTACAGGAGAATAATCACCCAGTCATTTGGCGGCCAGGAATATTGATCAACCCCTCTATCGGAATGCCTACGGGGTGGGTTCTGTGCAGTCTATAGCACTGTCTATGGGGGCAGTCTTTGGTGGACTTCGTTCACTGCGTGGGCAGGGAAGGTCAACCACGCAATGTTTCCATAAAGGGTAAGCAGCTGAATGCATGTGCGACAAGATTGAGAAACCACGACGTCCAACACAGCTGAAGCCATCGTGCAACAGAGACTTTTGCAACTGCGCTCGCTCCAGAGCCAAACGTCCAGCACGCTGAACCGAAGGACCCACAATCTCTATCGGGGTGGGGTCTAGGGTTTTGTGGCCTTGAAATAACACTGTGTCCAAGTCTGCTTTCATTTGAAGGAAATCCAACATTCAAAGGCTATTCAAGACCAGCGCCTCAATGGAAATTGGTGTGTTGCTGGTTTCTTCATACTGACACTTCAGTCATTGAAAACCCAACAACTCACTGTTGGGCTATGTGCGTCTTACGAATAGGGGACCCGCAAAATGGATTTTGGTTTTCCCCCAACTAGTTTCCAACTTTAGACAAACCAACCCCAAAGCAGGCTATCGCCCCGATTTTTTCTTAAAAAAATGACATACCTGGACCCTCACAAAATTCCAACTTAAAAAATGGATGACTGCAACCCACAAGCCTGGTGACTTCCCCTTTTTGCATAGGAAGTCCACGTACCCATGTAGGTCGGTCTTTTCTTGGAGTTGGCACCCCTTTTTTGCGCAGTGGCATTTAAAGAGGACACCAACAGGAAACTATCGACTTTGGCTCTCTCCAAATATGTTATTTCAAACCATTGGCATCTTTCTCACCCACGAGACCAACTGGAAAACCGAACTGCGCCAAATGTTGTGGGGGCTCCGTTTCCTTAGTGTCCCTTTAAAGCCAACCCCGAAAAGTTTAAGCTATTTGTTGTTTCCTTAATTTCCCTTTTTATTAACCTCCACCCCCAAAAAAATTAACCCAATTATTTTCCGGGGCTCTGTTTCCTTGGTTTCCCTTCAACACCCAACCCCGAAAAAAAGGTCAATCCATGTTTTGTTTCCTTAGTTTCCCTTTAACACCCAACCCCCAACAAAGGTCAATCCGCTTTGTGTTTCCTTAGTTCCCTTTAAAACAAACCGCACTGGAGGTTTAACAGGGATCCTTACATTATACACCTGAACATTGCCTTGCAAATGGCGGCTTCCCTTTATTTTGGTGCATGGAAAAAACACATGTTTCAAATGGTTGCAACATGGGGATCTTTTAAGGAGCCCCCCGTTTAATCACTCTCTTCGTTCCGGGGCTCCGTTTCCCGTTGCACAACCGGCGCCCCCGCCGCCAGGCCTTGAGCTGCACTCTCACGTCCTCGAACGCTCGATGCCCACTGTACCCGACCCCATGCCGCATGCGCCGCCCCCCACCCCCGCACACAAAAACAAATGGAACGCTCGTTCTCTTTTTTCTGTCCAAGAACACAAGGTATGGGCGTGCGGGGGAAAAAACACAGAAGAGGTCATTATCTGTGTTGTTGCAGGCTTCTAACAATGAAGAGAGAACCAACATATCGAAAACCCGACAAAGAAAACAGGCCAAGAACAGTGAAGGTGTTTTGATGAAGGAAAACCAAAGGGACACAATGCAAACAAGGCCTCCCTATTCTAGTTACCCCATGTTCTTTGCAATCTGAGGAAAGCTCGCTCAAACGACATGTTCACTGGTCTGCAATCTGCAACCCCTTTTGGAGTGCCAATCCAGCGACTATACACTGGCTGAGTCTGTTGGCATCTGGAATCGCACATTTAAAACCTAAAGACAAACAATGTTCAACGTTGATGTATGTTGTCCAAAAGACTTATCAGCGGGTACGCGGGCTGTTTGTTCTTAGTGTATTTGAGGGAAGATATATTCTAAGCTCGTTTTAACTCAAGGGCTTTCGTCTGGGTGATGCAAAGGTTTCATTCCTGGATAAGAATGAGGCGCTTAATCCAGCTTCATTGAAGGGTAATAAGGGCACAGAGCGCCGTGGTATGAAAACAACAGTTCAGAATGATAATTGCTTTGGCACTATTTGTGTCAATCATCAAAGCATGACAAAACAAAGCCGGGACATAGAGAAAAGAGGTACAGTCACTGTTGTGTGCGTGTGTGTGTCTCAAAACAGGGAGCCAATTTTGGGAGATGTGCATGGGAAACCAAAAGGAAGCCCGGATCTTTAGGGATCCTAATCTCCTACCTCCCCCAGCCAAATAACTCGTGTGTTTGATCTGGTCCACAATGTTAACTGGAAATGACAAAACCATCTCAAAGGGACAAAACACAAGGGATTCTAGACGGTTCTTGCTCAATTTGCTGAGGGGTTGGGGGGTGTAGCGCACAGAGGTCCAATTGGATCCTGACACCCACTCGTGGAAAGGGACACCATTGGTGAAATGGTAGCAGGGGAGGCTTAGGGTTTTTCCCTAAGCTCCTTTCCCAAAATTGCCAAACCCAGGAAGAAGAAAACAACTGGTTCACCTCTTGGGGCCACTCAAATGGACCAAGAGGAAGAAGCCAAAGGCTCCAGGACTTTTCTCCGAGCGGCCGACTTCCCCATGCGGCGGCTGAGTCGCTGCACCGAGGAGAAGGTCACAGACTCGGTGAGGACGGAGCCGTCGGGGCCCAGGCCCTCGCGGGAAGCCATCCAAAAGAGGGTCCTGGCCGAAGGGGGTGCTCCAAGGGCTTCCGATTTGTTGGTCCTTTTGACTGGCCCCATGTTTTTGCCATGATCAAAGTCACCCCCTAAGTGGTGGGTTAAAGGGAAACAGCCCCATTTTCTGGCTTTGATAACTCCCAGAATCAGTCAAACAAATGACTTTTCTGTTTGAGCGCAGAGGGCTCCCAGATTGCTTAGCGTTGGTGTGAGAGGTTCAAAAAAGGGCTTTCTTTACAAATCGAAAAGGCTGCCAAGCACAACAGCAGTTTTTCAAAGGGTTTCCAACCAACGAAATGGCTTCTGGTACACACCAAACGATGTCTGATGTCACTACGAGAGGTCCACCATTTTGAGAGCCCCCCCGAAATCTGAAAGAAAGTGGCAGGAGCTTGGAAACCTCCCGACTGATGTTTGAACCTCGAAAGCCCGGTGGATGAACAATTTAAAAGCAGGTAGTCGCTTTTAAAGGGAAACTCTGTTAAGGGCAAACAGGGCAGTGAGTGTCTGAAAGTGGCAGAGTTTGGAAACCTCGCAACTTGTGATGTGTACACCACCCAAAAGGAACACATGTGGGTGTCTCAAAATAGATGCGTCCTTAAAATGGCCCCGGTTTCCTTTGATTGAGGTCAAACCCAAAACTGGTACGAAGCAGATTCGGGTTCGGCACGGGTACCTGTTTGGGTCAACTTTTAGGGGAAGGGAAGCCATCCATCTGGCTGATTCAAAGGCCTTTCAGTTCGGGTAGCACGGCAGCGTTTTGCACTGAACCAGCCATCTTCCCACTGAACCCACATCAAAAAACATCTCAAGACAACATAGAAAATCAGGACCAACACATCTCTGGAGAGGATGCAGGCGCAAAGTCAGGGTCAGCGCAAAGCACGCAGATACACGCAGAAACGCATGCAAACAAAGCCACAGAGCCAATGCTGCCAAGCACACACACACACACTCACAGAGGCACAGACACAAACACAAACAAAAACACACACACACACACACACAGAGTCACACCCACAACACACGCAAAGCACATGGGTGAGTACTGCACATTGTTGGCGTTGTTACCCTTTTGTTCAGCGTTGTTACCCCATATTTGGCGTGGTTACCTCGCCATCTGCACACACACACAGGCACAGAGGTACAAACACAAACAAAAACACACACAGGCACACACACACACACACACGCAAAGCACATGGGTGAGTACTGCACATTCTTGGCGTTGTTACCCTTTTGTTCAGCGTTGTTACCCCATATTTGGCGTGGTTCCCTCGCCATCTGCACACACGCACACACTCACACTGGCACAGAGGCACAGACACAAACAAAAACACACACAGGCACACACACACACACACACACACGCAAAGCACATGGGTGAGTACTGCACATTGTTGGCGTTGTTACCCATTTGTTCAGCATTGATACCCCATATTTGGCGTGGTTACCTCACCATCTGCACACACACACACAGGCACAGAGGTACAAACACAAACAAAAACACACAGGCACACACACACACACACACACACGCAAAGCACATGGGTGAGTACTGCACATTCTTGGCGTTGTTACCCTTTTGTTCAGCGTTGTTACCCCATATTTGGCGTGGTTACCTCGCCATCTGCACACACACACACAGGCACAGAGGTACAAACACAAACAAAAACACACACAGGCACACACACACACACGCAAAGCACATGGGTGAGTACTGCACATTCTTGGCGTTGTTACCCTTTTGTTCAGCAGTGTTACCCCATATTTGGCGTGGGTACCTCACCATCTGCACACACGCACACACTCACACTGGCACAGAGGCACAAACACAAACAAAAACACACACAGGCACACACACACACACACACACACGCAAAGCACATGGGTGAGTACTGCACATTCTTGGCGTTGTTACCCTTTTGTTCAGCATTGATACCCCATATTTGGCGTGGTTACCTCACCATCTGCACACACACATAGTCACACAGGCACAGAGGCACAGACACAAACAAAAACACACACAGGCACACACACACACACGCAAAGCACATGGGTGAGTACTGCACATTCTTGGCGTTGTTACCCTTTTGTTCAGCATTGTTACCCCATATTTGGCGTGGTTACCTCACCATCTGCACACACGGACACACTCACACTGGCACAGAGGCACAGACACAAACAAAAACACACACAGGCACACACACACACACACGCAAAGCACATGGGTGAGTACTGCGCATTGTTGGCGTTGTTACCCTTTTGTTCAGCATTGATACCCCATATTTGGCGTGGTTACCTCACCATCTGCACACACACACAGGCACAGAGGTACAAACACAAACAAAAACACACACAGGCACACACACACACACACACGCAAAGCACATGGGTGAGTACTGCACATTCTTGGCGTTGTTACCCTTTTGTTCAGCATTGATACCCCTTAATTGGCGTGGTTACCTCACCATCTGCACACACACACACATAGTCACACAGGCACAGAGGCACAGACACAAACAAAAACACGCACAGGCACACACACACACGCAAAGCACATGGGTGAGTACTGCACATTCTTGGCGTTGTTACCCTTTTGTTCAGCATTGTTACCCCATATTTGGCGTGGTTACCTCACCATCTGCACACACGCACACACTCACACTGGCACAGAGGCACAGACACAAACAAAAACACACACAGGCACACACACACACACGCAAAGCACATGGGTGAGTACTGCACATTCTTGGCGTTGTTACCCTTTTGTTCAGCATTGATACCCCATATTTGGCGTGGTTACCTCACCATCTGCACGCACACACACACACACTCACACTGGCACCGAGGCACAGAAACAAACAAAAACACACACAGGCACACACACACACACACGCAAAGCACATGGGTGAGTACTGCACATTCTTGGCGTTGTTACCCTTTTGTTCAGCATTGATACCCCATATTTGGCGTGGTTACCTCACCATCTGCACGCACACACACACACACTCACACTGGCACAGAGGCACAGAAACAAACAAAAACACACACAGGCACACACACACACACACGCAAAGCACATGGGTGAGTACTGCACATTCTTGGCGTTGTTACCCTTTTGTTCAGCATTGATACCCCATATTTGGCGTGGTTACCTCACCATCTGCACACACACACACACACACTCACACTGGCACAGAGGCACAGAAACAAACAAAAACACACACAGGCACACACACACACACACGCAAAGCACATGGGTGAGTACTGCACATTCTTGGCGTTGTTACCCTTTTGTTCAGCATTGATACCCCTTATTTGGCGTGGTTACCTCACCATCTGCACACACACACACACTCACACTGGCACAAAGGCACAGACACAAACACAAAAACACACACACACACACACAAAGCGGTGCTTTTCGGAGAGACTTGTCCCACGAGCCCTCCGGAAATAGCTGTTCGATGCTGTTCGCTTCAACCCACCGCCTCCGTTGCGCAGGATGCAGCGGCAGCTTGAAGCCGGGAGGATATTCAGGAGCCTTCGGACGGGCCGAATCCGTCAGCCATACGTGAACATATATGACCTATCAAATGCTGGGACGCAGAAAGGTTCCTTCCACAGAATGAATATAGAACAATCAAAAGGAAATATGTTCAAGAAATGTATGAAGCCATACATGCAACCTATCAAATGCTGGGAAGCAAACAGGTTCCTCCACATATTCATCGGGAGCAATGAAAGTTGTGGTAGTCAAGGAACCATTCGAAACCCTTTCAGATTGAGCCAGAACAGTCTGAAAAACCTATGCAACCTTTGCTAAACAATCTCAGACCAGTCTAAACCTTCAAACAGCTGCGCCGGACACCGACCCTCAATGAATCTGAAGCTAGCCTAGACCGAGTGGATGGTGCTCAGGGTGGCTGGTGTTCAACCGCCGGTGTCGCGTACCCCGTTGGGCCATTGGGCGCTTGCACATGGGTGTGAAAACCTCATAGCCAAATGACATTGTGGCGCATCGTCAATACAGTAAATTGGCCGGCGATTCACCAGAGTAGGTAGATCAGACAGATTGTCAAGTAAGCAAATTGGCACATGTTCACATTGGTGTTTTGTGAAAAGATAGATCTCCATCACGTTGTGCAAGTCTCGGCTGCAATGAACATTGGTCTAGGGTTTGGGGCTACCACAGAAGCGTTTCTAGACAAAGAAACTACATGGGCGACCTCCTTTATCCCTGCACAATGAGGTTGCAATTGAGTTTGACCCGAAATGGGTATATGTGCCAAAAAGCAGGGACCCCTTCAAGGTTGTTGGTGTGTGAATCGTCTCTCAAAACCTCCCACGCGGGATCCCTAGTTTCGACACACAGCTCTGTGCGCGCGTGTGTGTGAGGGGTACGCTTTTCAACTAGTTAAAAGACATAAGTGAAAAGAAAAGCCGCCATTTTGGGGGTACCCATGAGCCATTTTATATTAAAGGGGGGGTACCCATGAGCCACCATTTCGGGGGTACCCCTATTTTTAGTCACATCCCCATTTTCTTAAAGTCCTATAGCCCTCCTATGCCTCCGCCAACGCGCCACAGGACAGCAGCGAGAAGTGGGACACGCTGCGGCTGGGAAGCCTGCCGACTCGCCGAAAGCCACAAATTCCGGCGGGCGAATTTTTGGGGAGCCTTACCCTCCGCCAGACGATTCCATGGAAGCTCCCAGGACCCCTTTGGAAGACTTGGTTCCATTTACAGAGGCCTTCTGGGAGCTTCCATGTTAGTTTGAGGGAGTGTAAGCAACTTTAGCACCAGCACTCCAATGGAGTGCAATCAGTTTTGAAGGGGAGCTGTCCTCTTAGAAAGCTGAGAGGGCAGTTGTCAGGTTCTCCTCAACCATGCAAGATTGCGCAGCCTGGGCGTGGGGGCTCACTACACACTTAAGGATTCCACTACTATTGTCCTGTACCAGGCAATCACCACTGGTAAGCAACGGACTGGAGCAATGGTACGGCCTTCTCCTAGTGAGACAAGTCGAACAATCCATACTTGATTGCTCATCATATTTAATATAGGAGCTGCTACTGTTTGCTGAAGATATAGGCATGAGTCAGTCATGAGGCATCCTTTAACTCAAATGTCTCTGGGTGCCTATACTTGATCTTGCCAACCTCACCCGACTGCGGCCACAGCGTGCAAACGTGCAGCCACTAGGATCTTTGCGATGCAACCGCGTCTCTTGGGTCGGTCAAAACGACTTTGCATGTCTTGCTGATATCAGTGCAGGGTCGGCCACTTGCTGCACTGGCCACTCCCATGGCTTTGTCTCGCTAGCCAAAGCGTTGTTCAAGAGGGGATGACCGAGCCTTTTAAGACCAAGAAAAAAGGTCGTGTAAGCATGTCACATGCATGATCTTTGTGCGCCAAAGCGGAAACATATTAATGGCCAGCAAAATCAGGTAAGCGGCATGCAGGAAGCGTCAACATCGGCGATTGTCAGGAGAACCCTTTGCTAAGGGTGCCCTTTCCCCCAGATGATTAGTTCATGGCTAAGCCTTGGCAAAGAATTTGGCAAAGGGCAAGTAAAGGACGACTTAGATAAAGGGTACCCACGCTACTTCCTGAGACAAGAGATTGGGAGACAAAGGGAGCAATAAAAACATATTCTTGGCTGAAGACTTACAAACACTCGCCTCCTAGCCATTTCTTGCAGCATACACCTGACACACAGTACCATTCTTGCAACCCAAGCAATCCACTTACCCTGGTTAAAGCCTGTCAGTGCCCGGGGATATCAATCAGCACATGCTGGCTATATAATATAGCATGCGTCAATAGGAAGCCATTCACGGAGCTGATTCCAAGACTAGAGAGGTTGCCGTGACATTGTCAAAAGTCTCATCCCTCGCCTTTGAGGTGTGACGACAAATTCAACGAAGCACGCTGCATGAACTCCGCGCGAGTGCTAGGCGGGGGGTAGGAGGGTTTGGGGTTTGGGGCGGGCGGGGGTGGGGGGGGTTAGGGGGGTGGTAGGGTGGGGGGGGGGGGGGTGTTCGGACTCCGTTGCACAAGCAAGGCTGATTCGCCATGCAAGACTGCTCTTCAGGCTTTTCACTACAACACGTTACTGAGTTTTGTTCCTTGTTGCAATCCACGTTGTTGTCGCTACTGGCGTCTCCTGTTTCTCTTGGCATTTCTGTGTTTGGTGTTGTCATTGTTAGTCAGTGTGGTAGCATCCTGCAAGCACGCCGAGCCCTCGTGCCGTCAGCACAGTAAGCCACTTGCCATATGTCTGTTCACAGTTTGTTCCCCAGATAGCTATAAAGCGGGGACAGTGATTTGCAAAATTGACAGCTGGGTGCTGGAGGGCGTGCAGTTGGGGGGCTGGCGCACATGCTGTCAGGGTGTGCTGTTTCGGGAGCTGTTTGTGGTGCTTGCTTGTGACGGTGCGGGCGCTTGTTTGCAAGATTGATGACAGGGTGAGCGCATGCAGTCTTGTCGTTCTGTTTGGGGTGTTGTTTGAGGTGCTTGTGACGGTGCGGGTGCTTCTTTGCAAGATTGAGGGCAAAGTGAGCGCGTGCGGTCTTGGCGTGCTGTTTGGGGTGTTGCTTGAGGTGCTGGTGACGGTGCAGGTGCATTTTTGTGAGATAGATGGCCGGGTGCTAGCGGGCATGCATACAGGTGACGGTGCGGGCGCAGTTGACCCAGCAATGATGTCTCACATGTGCTACCCTCAGATCTGCTAGACGTCCATTTTTTTCCGGGGTGAATGGAAACTACCACAAAACTCTAAAACATCTAAAAGGCTAAAAACCCAAAAACCCAAGGGGATGGCTCTAAAAACATCCAAGAAACCTAGGGAACCGGATGTCTGGGAGCCACCTGGCCGTTGGGGCGCCCGGCCCCGGGGTGGCCGCCGTCTCCGCCTTCCGCCGCTTCGGCGGCCGGGAGCTGCTGGCCTTGGCTCGCCCCGCCTTTAGGCCGGACTTCTTTTGGTCGTAACACCAATCCAACTGGAAAAACCCCAAGGCACCTGCCCCGTGCCATGAAAACTATTCATGAAGTCATTTGCCCAAGGAGACCTGGTTTGAAGCGTGGCCATGGGTTGAATGAGAGGTCATGGGTACATAGATGTACATACCCAAACAGCCACGCGGATACGTGGCTGAGAGGTGGGGTGCGTTCATTCGGCGTAGGCAAGTATGACACTTAGACCTTGCTGCGGCGTTGCCTCGATGCTATTCCCAACTCACAAACCTAACGCGCTGAACTTGAACCGAGAAGCACTCGATTGAAAGCTGAACTTTTGTAAAATTCATCCTGGAATGTTTGGACAGGAGAGCAGATTGGTGTGGCCGCATTCACCATCATCGTCGGCAAGGCTAGCTACAGATCACATGGAGAACGTGTAAGTTTGTTCCCGGTGAGCTGTGTTGGCTGCATGTGGCCCAACATCTGACAACCTGGTATTCCGAATTATTTGCCCTGAAGCGGGTTCTTCGGCCGCAGCGTTTTGTTTGCCAAAGGCCTGGCGCCTCGCAGGCCCGAATATTTGTGTCTTGCTCTGCGCTGACTACTCAGACTCTTCGTTTCTCGCAAACTGGTCGGCGTGCTCCAACGCGTGCGGGTCGCTGCTGGCACTTGGGGTGTCGGCAAAAGAGTCAAGTTTCAGGGCGGGTTGGTGGAGGAACAACTCCCTCTCGAATCTCCACCGCTCTTGCCACTTCCCGTCGTGCTCCGCCTCGGACGGTGGAAAGACCTTCTTACAAATGCCGTGTCGCTCCAAGGTTGCAACCCCAGCCTTTTCCTCCAAGTAAGGTCCCACACTGCAAGGTCGCAGGCGTCCCGGAAAACCCCACGCTTGCGGCGCCCCAGCCTTCGTCTCATCAAAGCAAAGGAAACTGGATGCTTCAGGACTTACTCAAAGGCCATCTTCAGCCTCATCCTGATCAGTCCGCTGCTACGCCGTCAATTGCACCCCTGCAACGAGGAAAAATAGGTAGTTCCGCGAATCTCGGGCGCACAAAAAAAAATCGCCCCAGCTTGCATTTGACCAACTTTAACAGCAAAAAACCCTTCATCGCCCCGAACGCCCTTTTGCCAGGCTTGCCCTTGAGGCAAAGTCAGCTCGTGCCCGCCTCCCTCAGTCTGTGGCACAAACCATGATCCTAAGCAATAAAAGAACCGCAAAGCCAGGTTCACGACCCGTCGCCACGCCTGACTTCGTTGATGGGGCACTGGCAGTGGCACTGGCACACCGCAGGTCGCCCTTCTCCGCCGATCCACGAGTAGACCACCACCCAGCGAAAAAGTCCAGCAAAGGCAATCACTGCGTGGCCGGAATTGACTAAGTAAATGTTATCTAACCAACTAAGATAGCTCAATACGGGTGTGCTTTTTTGGGGGGAACCCCTTTTGGTTTGTGTCAAAGAGAAACCTAAAGAAACCAACCGTTTCCGGGATTCCCCAATTTGAGACTAACCCATACAGTTCTTTCAAGACCGGCCGCCAACAGTCCCGACAGAACCAGCATGGCCGCTGATAGTGGCTTTGGACGTGTTGTAAACTCATTAGCTCGTCCCGCCCCATCTGAGGAGCTGGCTGCTTCAGCTCCGTCCTCGTCCTGGCTGCGATGGTCCGATCTGTTGTGCTTACGCCATAGATCAGCATCCGCAGATTGAAACATGGAACCTGCATCTGAATTCTCAGCAAGACTACAACAAGACCAATATGACCAATATGAACATTCGGGAAGCATCCCAGTTACCTGCCGCTCATTGCGTATCTACGACATCGATTTCAAATGGACCTTTCGATGGGCCTTTCGGAAAGCGTCATGACCAACTTGGAGGATGTGATGGCTGCTTCAATGCTAGCCCACGCTTTTAGAAGCAACGGGTTACCCCTCAAAAAAAGCCCGAGCAAGGATGGCGGGGCATTCTTTTGGCACGCGCTACTTGCCAGCGATTCCTTCTGTGCAGGTGCTCGATGTGAGCAAGAGCTGCGCTCTGCAGGTTCCGTCTCGCGATATGGAGGTCTCGCCTTGCAATTAAACCACAGCTCAACCTAGGTGTGGTGAAGACATCCAAGGTACACAGCAAACAGATGGAAGTACAATTCATATTCCTGGTGCTGGCAGCTTTACTTGATGCAAAAAGGCGGCTAGTTTCCTGTGGCAATCACTAATATGGCAAGTGATGTCCAGCTAGGCCGGGTTAATGTGACCTTGATCCAGCACAAAACATGAAAAAAGGGTCGGGTCCCTTTGGCCACACATCCCCGTAGTATTCCTCAGCAGCCGCGCCTGGACATTGACCTCATCTTCGTCGTCCTGACCCGGACGAGCTCTTCTTGCGGCCATTTGGTGAATGACAGCCCTTGATCAGCATGTTCACACTTCAAACGTGCAGCAGCAAACACGCCTTTGCATGTCAATTGTACGAGTTCGCATTTGCCCGTGTGCGCGCTTTCGAGCGCTGTGCGTGCGCGTTTGCCTCTGCGCGCGCGCGTGCGCGCGTGCGTGCGTGCGTGCGTGCGTGCGTGCGTGCGTGCGT